ACTCAGTTGCTGGGAGTGTAAAGACAGGGTGCCCGACCTTTGCGTTTTAGGGTACAGCTTCAAACGGCCAAACGGGCACTTGCGAGTGGGACGGCGGGTGAGGTGGAGCACTCGGGTGGCTAACAGTCCTCTTCCCTCTTCCAGAATCTGTTGCCCTCGGTACGGGGAAAGGAGACAGACAGAAAGCGACTGGGGGAAGCGTTGCGTGGACAAGTTTGATATCATTGGGATTATTGGAGAAGGGACGTACGGGCAGGTGTACAAAGCCAAGGACAAGGATACAGGTAAGGATGCCAAGTGGTTTCCAATGGGCTCCACTTCTTTAAGCACACCCGCAGTAACAAGGCCTTAAAACTCCTTCCAGCATTAGTGGTGGTGCCAGTTAATGACAAATACCTGTAGAGCTGAAATGGCTCCAGCCCTGGAATGAATATTTACACCAGGTGTTTTCAAAAGCAATCCTGCTAACTGTGGCTTAGTGCCCACCTGCCCTCTCTGCTCGTGAAAGTGCGTGCCCTCTACGTACAGCAGCCTTGGGTGCCCGCTGAACCCCTGCTTGTTAAATGTGCCTTTATCAGACTTTATTGTAGCAGAGCTTGTGAAAGGGACTGGAGTGGCTTCCAGGGGAAACTTGGGTTCACCAAAACTCCTCCTTTGGTGCAGATCAGGAGGAGTTCTTGGTGTGGTAACTTCTGACAGCAGTGTAACCAAAATGAGTAGAGTGGTAGCTAAGCTGTTTCTCGGTGGATGTTGGCTGTGCTCACAGCTGCTTTCAGCTTCCCCCTGGGACCCCACAGGGTTGTTAGCAGCGGTGTGTGCAGGGGCTCTGATGCTGGCTTGTTCTGGCAGGTGAACTGGTGGCTCTCAAGAAGGTGCGACTGGACAATGAAAAGGAAGGCTTCCCCATCACAGCCATCCGCGAGATCAAAATCCTTCGGCAGCTCATCCACCGCAGTGTTGTTAACATGAAGGAAATTGTCACGGACAAACAAGATGCACTGGATTTCAAGAAGGACAAAGGTAGTATTTGCTGCGGGGTGTGGTGTCGATTAACCAAAGAGGTGATGCAACTCTGTTTGTTTATTCTTAGTGTAAAACAAAAAACCTAAACTCTGGTGTAGATTTTGGCTTTTGTGTTCCTCCTTGATACATGGTTCCAGCAAGTTTGGCACTTGGATTTGGCATTGCATCAAAGGATAGATTCCAGTTAGAATGAGTTGTCGTGCTGCAGAGCAGAGGTAGACCCGGGCTTAAAAGCAC